GAGAAAGGAGGGAGAGGTGTGAAGTGATGAGAAAGGAGGGAGAGGTGTGAAGTGATGAGAAAGGAGTGAGGAGGTGTGAAGTGATGAAGATAAAAGAGGAGGGAGGTGTGAAGTAGTGAATAGAGAGGAGGGGGTAGGGTGTGAAGTGATGAAGAAAAAGGAGGCAGGAGGTGTGAAGTGAAGAGAAAAGAGGAGGGAGGTGTGAAGTAGTGAAGAGAAAGCGGAAGGTATGAAGTGAAGAGAAAGCAGGGGGTAGGGTGTGAAGTAGTCGGGGAAGGTGTAAAGTAGTGTAGAGAAGAGGAAAAAAAGTGTGAAGTACTAAAGAGAAAGAAGGAGGAGGGGTCTTAGTAGATGGCTGGGTCTAGGTGGAAGACAAGTGTCAGCCTGGGGGGATCTCGGTACAAGTTCTCCTGCGAAGGCAAGCTGAAGAGGTACACCACCGGTCCCAACTCACCTGTCGTGGTGAATGATTAAGCTGATGGCTTCAAAGAGCACTGCATTCTTGGCGTTAGAATGTTGGACCTTCTTTGACTTTGGGGGCTCCTGGGCCTTATTAAGGACCGTCTCCAGACACTCGGTCAGGCGGCCCCTCACTGCGGGTTCTTCTGGGCGAGACAAGAAGTGTCAGAGCTGGCCAGCCTAGTTCGCATGCCCCACCACAGGCCGCGCTACCCTCGGGGACCGGTCACTGCGTACCCAAAGGGAATGTTTAGTACAGCTTATTCATATTTGTGTACACAGGCAGGTGTATTTACAGAAATATGAAAAAAAAAAAAAGGTTGGATTTTATACATATAAATAAGGAGATTTAGCAATCAGAGTAAATAGTCACGCTTTTCAATGTAAAGTACACACCAACACTTTTACTGATATATGTTGTTGCTGTTAAGCACTGTCAAGCAGGTTCTGACTCATAGCAATCCTATATAGGGTTTCTAAGGAACAGCTGGTAAGTTTGAACCACTGACCTTACATTTACATTTCAAACCAACCTTCCAGTCCAGTGCTTTATCCTACAGCACTATACCAGGACTTGATCATACAAGTCAAGAAAAAATTTAAAAATCTCAGAGACTTGGGACAAACCCCTTGATATGAAAATTTAAGAGAAAAGTCAGCAAAAAAATTTTACCAACAGAAATACAAAATGTAAACAGCAATTGAAAAACTAATAAAATAAGAGAAAAGTAAGAAGTTCTACCTGAACCATAAGTAAGGAAACATTCGGCAAAACAGAACAAGAAAACAACAGAAACACCAGGACATCAGCCCCCCAGTGCCTGATTAGCTGTGAAAACACACGGTCAGGACAGAACGGGCAGCTGGGGTAGCCACCAGGCAGCTGAAAGCTGAGCTCCCCCGCCCCCGCAGCCTCACGGTACCATACACACACAGAGGCACCTGCAGCCAAAGAGGGCAAAGAGTCTGGGAATATCCCAAGAAAGTTCAACACACCGGCCTGAAGCAGGATTAGAATGACAAAATTCACAGGCCAGAGCCTGAGGGGAGGAGCTCAACCTGCGTAGCCATAGGCCTCAGAACAAATGGAGGAACCCTAACCAAGCATGGGCAATGCCCTGGTCAGCCAGTCAGACCCACAGTAGGCACAGGAAAGTGGACGCAGCAATGCTGTGGCTGCAGCATCGGGAAGGACGCTGGGTCAGGTCCGGCTCCTAGGCTGAGAAGAAACAGGGGCCATGCCCCGCCCACCAGCTCTGCACCAGAAGTTCAGGGAGATGACTGTCCACACGTTAGTACAGAAGTGTATCTCACAGTTACTGTAGTCTAACGAATTTGATTGACACCGGGAGGTTACAACAACAAAACTATCTCTTTGAGAGGAGTCTGAAAGCATCTAACAAAAATGTCAATGCACATTCTTCAAGGATACCGTTCTATTTCTAAAGACTTAACCTTCGAGTCAAACGTAACACTTAGAACGAGACAGGAGTGTAAGACCTGATAGTTTTAATGCAGTATCAGATCATTAAAATTGAGTCCACAGTGGTGCAATGAGTTCATGCATGTGGCCTTTTGTTCTGGCTCATAAGGAAAGCCCTCAGGAGTTATCGCTGGCCTGGTTTCAACCTCAGAGGATCTCTTACTTTTGTCCAGGTTGTCTGGTCCTGGGCTGCAGATCCCTGTGACTAACAGGCAGTTTACAGACACCGGTTAATAGTCTACACAAAAGAGATGACTGTAGCCTACTATGCAAATGAAGTGTCTGTGGCCCCCACTAGAAGTAGGACTGTGCTTTCATTTATGAGGAGTTGCTGTATAAAAGCAATCAACCCTCAGAGGTTGAAAGAAAGAAATAGGAAGAGAGACAGAAGAAAGAAAGAAAAAAGTACCAGCAAAGAGAGTGAAAAGAGGCAAGGAGCGGTTTCAAAGCGCTGCCGGCAACATGGCTCAGAGAAAGGGCAGTCAGGAGCCACAGCACGGCTAAGAGGCTGAAAAGATCTAGTCCTCAGGGGGCTGAGCGGCGTCTGTCCTCAGGGGGCTGAAGGAGTCTGTCCTCAGGGGGCTGAGCGGGGTCTGTCCTCAGGGGGCTGA